AACAAGCCATATCTTGAAACAAGTGATTCTTACTTATCGAAATGCACTTGATTGCTTGCAGGATAAGAGGCTCAAAGGTATATGCCGAAGGACAATATACCCAGATTCTAAATTTAGATCATTACAACAATGCATTAAATGGAGAAAATTTCCATCCATAAGATCAATATGATTCAAGTATGGACTTAAACTATTAGAACATAAATAAAGTAGGAGCAATTATTTTATATTTATTCCATTACATGTTTATCTACAATGTTGATAGAATGTGGATAGTTGAAAACCTGAAAGCTACTGAAGCTAAGGCTAAGAAAATGAGAGAAAGTAGAAAAGAAATATAATAACAGAAGGTGGTATACGACCCCTATACTTCTTTATCACCGAACCTTCAATGACTGGGTAATTCACCACCAATATGTAAAATGAGATCAAAACTTGACCCAACGTTTCATGCCTTCTTCTTTCCACAATAACTCTACAATTCCTCCACAAAGTGATCAAGTTCAATATCATTAGTAGGACAACTGGAGTAAGTAATCGACTTGATACTTGAAAATTGAATTTACTCTTTTAGTATAAACTCACTTATTCCTCGTCTGCAACTTTATTTGTTGGCACAAAACTTGCTTCCTTTATGCTCAAACACTTCAAAACTCCGTCTAATAATCCAAACGTGCATGCCGTAATTGACTTTATCATTCAAATCTTCTGTTCATTCCACCATGTTTGTGTGGTGCCTTTGCTAGAGACAACCTCCTCTAAATGTTTCAACAAAGAACCCATGAAAATAAATGCAAACACTGATACCCAGAAGTCCCAAACCTAATCCAGAATATAAGAACACACAATTAGAGGCTGCGAATACGTTTAGTAACATATATATATACACACACACACATATATAGGTTTTATATGGTGTCCTTACTTTGGGATACACTGCAATGGCATTCAAAAGACATAGTTGGGGCACTGTGGCCAGGCACCATAAGGATAAAGAATAAAAAGGCTTGAGTGACAAGTATGCATAGCACATGGTCTGAAGTATAGACATTTTTGATAGGCCATAGATGAGAGGACAGAACTTTGAGAGAGTCACTTCAACTAGCCCAGAATTCCATCTTGTGCCTTGAACCAATGTGTCATTCAAATATGTGGTAGAGCTACCCAAGAATGCTGCCCTCTCTGGATTACAGAAGATGGATTTCCACCCTTTGTAGTGTAAAATAAACTTGGTTAAGTAATCTTCAACAACCAAGTTATAAAAGAAACACACCTTCATTTTAGCAGGGAAAAAGAAATACTTGAACCATATTGTGATGGTGTAAATATATACAATGTAAATTTAATATACTATATATTTCAATAACATGAAACTAGCAAGCTTACCTGTTTATTCCATTGTGTGTGTCCCTCGTATGTGCAGGAGGCTACAAACTGGGATTCTTGTATAGATATTGATTGATCATTACTAGATTGATTTATGCAGCGAAGCGAGTTGATAAATGCATTTGATTGACCAAAAGATTGTCTCAATTGAACAAGATCATAATCTGGATTACAATTAATTTATAAGATCACTAACATCACGAAATGAATTCTCTGAAAGAAACACGAGAAATGAGAAAAGTAAAGAAAAATATAAGTATCTAGCATCTACTCGCAATCTTCTTGCGGATCAGGCTCGGGAACCAGATCCTCTTAATCTGAAATGGTTAAATAAAGGATGAGCTACACTATACTACCGGTACAGAAACAAATGTTGGTAGAAAATAAAAACAACTAATTGAGCACTAAATTTAAACTAATACATTTATTAAAAATAAAATCATTTACCCATCACATACCATTGGAAAATTTATGAAAATAAATTATAGAAGCAATAATATCATACATATCACAATTTCATACACGATCAGCAACATAGAACATATCATAAATTCACATTCATTAACAATAACTAAATCATAATCGCCTCTCGTTTCACCAGTCTACTAGTATCCATGGGAATCTATAGGAGTGTCTCTGCTATACATGAACCATTTCCTTTAACAATCTTAATTACAGAGTCATCCCCATACCCCGTCGGTATAAGCGCCAAAGATATTAAACTTCAATACCCCGTCCAATATGAGGGTGAAGCGGGTCATCCCCATACCCCGTCCGATATGAGCACCAAATGATCAAGTCTCCATACTCCGTCCAGTATGAGACAACGTTCATAGTAGGGCTCCCCATGAACTCGATCCATCCACCATCTCCTAGGATATCTAGTGAGGCTGTCATCTTATCTGTTTATTAGATCACACCCTTTTCCTGTTTTTCCTTAGTTTCCGTTACCAAATCAAACATAATTACACAAACAAATAAACATGCATCCGGTAATGCAATCATATCTTAGATCCCAAAATCAAATAATGGTCAAGTAAGACAATAATACATGCATTTAAACCATAAAATAGATAAACCAAAAATCATCATACTTTTAGACTGCAAAATCAATCAACAGAGAATAATGTCTAGTTCGAGCTTCATTAGCAATCCGTAATTAATTATACACATCTATTTAATTTATATAAAATATTGTATTATTATTTATTCAACCTTCAATTCTTTGATAAGAAATAGGGTGAGGGGTCCTTACTTGATTTGACGCAGAAAAGCTAAATGGTTTACTACGTCTACGGGCGATCCCTAGATTCCCTGTATTTTTCTTCAGGAACTGAAACGCGCTTACGGTACCTACAAATATCCCAAATAACCCAAAAAAATCAGTCTCATGGCCTACTCAGCCAATTTCAAAAATCCGGCACAGCTGCTCCGTCGTGCTCCGGCAGTGGTCCGCTTCAGGTTGCCCGTTTTCGGTCGAATTCAGTCGATTTTACACTGATTCCTCCGAGCACACATGCTAAAGGGCCTCGGTGGGTTAAAAAAATATAAAAAACTGAAACTCACCGACAGTAGGACTCTCCGGTGCGGCGGCTCCTCCGGCTCACGTTGCGGTTGGGTGTTTCGCTTCGGTCAACCTGTAGAGAGGAAAACAGTGATCACAACGGTCAAAAAATTACATGAAACAGGAATTGGGAATGGCCTCATCGAAGGCGGTTTGTGAAATTTCCCGCGGCAACGCCGCCAGGCTTCGGCGGCGTTTTTTGGTCAATTAGCCGGTTCTTTCACTCCAATTTGGCCATGGGTGGGTTTAAAATTGAATTTCGTGCAAAATGGAAAACTTTTACCTTTTTTAGTGGTCGGAAAAGGTTCCGGTGTGGCGGCGGGTGGCGGCGGCCGGCTCCTTGGCGGCTGGGTTGTCTTCTCCGGGGAGGGGTTCTGGCGGCTAGGGTTAGGGTTTGGGTGCGGATGGAGTTATTTATATCCATCCGCTTTTGATCTGGGTCATCCATCGCTTTTGATCTAAATCGTCCGATCGCAATTAAATAGGGAGTGAATCTGGACCGTTCATCGCGATTCAATCCGGGTCGTCCGTGCGCGTGGGAACGGACCTTAGCCGTTCGATCGCGCGCACGCGGATCGCCCACGTGGCTCCCCCCGCGTGGCCTCCCACATCAACGCCTCTGCCACTTGGCGCATCCTGGTTGGTCTGGGCTGTTGACCGGACGTCTAACGTAGAGCAATTTTTTAAATTACGTTTTGACCCCCGATTTTCGATTTTTCTTTCAAAAATACTCCCAGAACCCAAATTTTCACTCTTTTTTTTCAAAATTATTTTCAATTTAATTCTTAACAAATTTTTACCCTTTTTCATTAAATTAAATTAAATAAATAAATAACTATATTTTAAAAAATAAAAATAGAAATAAAAACAAATGTTGGGTGTTACATTGTTAATGAAGAAACATGAGACAGAGCAGAAAAAAATTAAAATAATTCCAAATTAGTTTGCTGAAAGAAGTTTGGTTCACACTAATAATTAGCTAATATTATTAATCAATATATTAAACCTATCTGTGAGATATCAGCATATAGAGCTTCTCTCTTCATATAAAATCTAGTACCAGACAACATAGGTCCTTGAAGTCCATCCATGTCAGGCCATCGTACCTTTAAAGGTAATACCAAAACTTGGGTTAAACCATGAATCATTATATGCATGATAATTTAATGTACATATATATATATATATATTATACCACAAATATGTTTCTCAATTGGCTGTCATAAATATCATTTGCACTGATGTTATGAAATTTTTGGGGGAGCTTAACAAAGGTTAAGGAGGAAGAGAGATTTGGATCAAGGTGGAAGCACATTGCTCGTAATGCAGATTTGGGATCATTACAATACATGTCGCAGTCTAACACCAATATGTATGGCGAGTTGCTTATGACGCCAGAAACTCTTAGCTGCAAAAAAAAACAATCTTAATAAAAAGGGATAAGGAAGAAGGTGATTGAGGTGGAGAGAAAATGAGAGAGAGAAGTACGAGAACGTTAAGTGCACCAGCTTTGAAATGGTGTGAGTGAGTTGGTCTCTTCTCGCAAGAAACATAAACAAGAAGCGGCATCTCAACTTCCTTAATACTATCTGCTGCTTTATCAGATTCCTCGGGCATCACCTACCATAAAATTTCAAGTTTGATCATAATATAATATAATATAATATATATAATTTTCACTTATACTTTATTTGTTAAGAATTAATTTATAAATTATAATATAATTAATTAGTTTGTTAGTCATTGAAATTCATAAATTAAAATCTATATATTCTTTGGTTTGTTAGTAGTTATATGTTACAAATTAGATTTATTATGTTTATTGGTGGTTATAATTAATTCTAATATTTGTAATAATGTTTATAAATAGTCATGTACTTAAAACTTTTTTATAAGAACCACAATAAAAAAACTTAAGTATTCTCATTAGTCTCTCTAATCTCTTCCTCCTATCTCCAACAAAGTGGTATCAAAACTTAATTTCTTGTGAAAATTCTAGAGAGATAGCTAGTAATAATCTATTTTCTTTTCAATTTCCTCGTCTTATAAAAAAAACTATGAGAGTTAGTGTTTTCGTATGAAAATCATACTTGGCTCATAAGATGTGTAGGATATTATAGAAAATAACTTTACTCCACCCAAAGATGAAGAATCCTTAGCTTAAAATAAGAATAATATTTTTTGCAAAAATAAAGAAAAAGAATCAACAAGCCCTTGCACTCATCCATCAAGGTTTGGATGAATCTATATTTCTAAAGATGGTTGATGCTACCAATGGAAAGTAAGCTGGGGAGATTTTGAAGAATTCCTTCCAAGGAGTTGACAAGGCAAAGAAGGTGCGACTTCAAACTTTACGAAGCGAGTTTGAAGCTTTGCAAATAAAGGATGTTGAATCCATTTTAGATTTTTGCTCAAAGATAAAGTCTATAATAAGCCAAATGAGGAGATATGGTGAGATGATAAAAGATGTTCATGTGGTGCAGAAAATTCTTCGATCATTGCCACCAAAACTCGACTATGTGTCTTGTGCCATTAAAGAATCAAATGACCTAGACACTTTGACATTTGAGCAATTAGAGGGATCTCTACAAGCTCATGAAGACAAAATAAAGAGAAAATAATAAGAGCCTCTGAAATAAGTTCTCAAATCAAAGACCTCTTTGAATGATGGTGGAAAGTAAAGAGGACGAGGAAAAGGTAGAGGACGTGATCATGGTCAAACATTTAAAAGAAATGAAACTCAAGATGATGTCAATAATGAATACAAAAGTCAACTGTCAAATAGAGGCCGAGGAAGAGGAAGAGAAGAGGTAATTATAGAAATTCTAACAAATTAAATATTGAATGTTACAATCGCTACAGATATGGACATTATGCTTGGGAATGTCTTAACACTTCAAATGAGAATGAGGAACAAGCCAAGTTTGTTAAAGATAAACAAGATGAGGAAGAAACAACTTTATTGCTAGCATGTAAAGAGGGAGATAGTGATACCCATAGTTCATGGTACTTGGATAATGGAGCAAGCAGTCACATGTGGGGCAATAAAAAAAAATTTGTGGAGCTTGATGAAAAGATTAATGGCAATGTTTCTTTTAGAGACTCTTCAAAAATTCAAATTCAAGGGAAATGTACAATTTTAATATCTTCAAAAATGATGGACATGTATTTATTACTAATGTTTACTATGTGCCAAAATTAAAAAGTAATATTTTAAGTTTGGGTCAACTTCTTAAAAATAGATACGAAATTCAAATGAAAGATTATTGTCTTTGTCTTGGAGATCAAAGTGTTAATTTGATTGTTAATATGCATATGTCAAAAAATAGAATGTTTATCTTGAATCTCAAAATTACTGAACAAGATGTTTGAAGACTAGTTTGGAAGATAAAGCATGGTGCTGACATATGAAATTTGGCCATTTGAACTTTGGTGCACTCAAGGCGATGGGAGAAGAAAAAATGGTGAAATGGATGCCATTAATCAACTATCCTAATCAATTATGTGAAACATGTCTACTTGAAAAACATTCAAGAAGGAATTTCCCAAAAGAAGATACTAGAAGAGCAACCAAGTTACTTCAATTTACGCATGCACGTCGATGTGTGTGGGCCAGTCAATCCACTCTCATTTGATAAAAATAAATATTTTTTACTATTTATTGATGATTTTAGTAGGAAGACTTACGTATATTTTTTAAAGCAAAAATCAAATTTTTTGTTGTTTTTAAAATTTTTAAAGCTCTTATAGAAAAAAATTGTAGTTGTGAAATAAAATTTATAAATTATTGTTTAAATTCTTAAACATTTAGAATAAATTAAATTTTTAGAGTATTTTCTATTACAAAATAATCTCAAAATTTTTATTTTTTTAAAAAAATTACTAAAGCTATTAAGTTAAAAAATTATTTAAAAAAAATCAGCATGGGTCTCTTCTGGTTCTTTCTCTCTATCTTCATCTATCCTCTCTCTTTCTGCCTTTATTACTATCTCTCCATCTTATCTCCCTTCGTATCACTCTTTCTCTCTACTCACAAACTCCTCAACACCTATGTGCATCTATGTTTGTGGAATGGAGGCCAAGAATTGGGGGCTAGTGATTTGAGGCTGTTGGTGGCATATCGATGAGGTTGCTCGCGTGCACGGTTAGTCTGAGAAATCATTATCTATCCACAACATCGAATGTCATTGCAGCAGAGTCAAATATCAAGTTTCGGCTTTGATAGAATCGGCCCATCCGGTTAGTTGATGATGAAACCATTGACTGTAGTTTGAGATTGACACTGAATCGCATGGGCAGGGGAAGACAGAGGAGGTGAGAAGTTAGTTTGAAAAAGAAAGGTTTTAAGATATATATGGGGAATGTGTGCAATTCTATATTTTGAGTGAGGATAATTTTGAGATTTTAAATTTATATTTTAAATGTTTAGTTACAAAAATATTTTTAAAATAAAAAAAAATTGTAATAAAAGAGTAGGTCAAACATGATATTAAACTTTTACGATAATCTTTACATATGTTATTAATTTGATGCTGAAATGTTTTAAAAATTGTTATTTCCATATGTTATTAATTTAAAAAATAAAATCTAAAATAAATAAATTGATTAACCTTGATGGATGAACTAGAAAGAAATCACATTAAATATTAATCACTGAAACAAGCAAACCTTGACGTTATCTATTTCTTCCTTCAAACTGTTGAGTTCTTTGAAGATCAACATCGTCATCATCACCAACGCCATGATCATCGTTGCAACTGGAAACCAAGACCACGCAAATAACCAAGCCTGTCTCGTACCATGCAGAGTAACCGCAGAGCCCCAATCATCCGAGAGATAAACAGACAATTTGTGCGGTGGGTAATCCAATGCCATAGCCGACAGCACAGTGTTCATCACCTCAACTGGTGGCTCTCTCTCGGGATCTGCCGTGCATACCAGCACGCCGATAGCCGGTAGGTTCTTGTTGTTTTCCTGGAAATTTTCCGGGAAAGTTGTGCGGGAAACAGGTCTCCATAGATAGGCCTGGTTTAGTAGCCAGAGGAGAGAGAGCAAGAGCTGTGATGCGAAAACGAGGAGGTGTGGTATGGAGATGGGATTATGAAGGGAGGAGAATCTGTAATAGATTATTCCGGTTATAGCTATGGAGTGGAGAAGAGAATATGAGCGGTTGACTACGGCAGATGGGTTATTGACGTTGCAGAGATGGAGAGGAGCTGACTCCATTTTAATTTGCATAATGCCTTCACCTTTCGGATTGCGGCGCTCAAGCCACCGCTCAAAACTTCTCCCCAGAATGACGGGGGCACGAAATTGTTGCCTGTACTATTTTATTTTATTTTTTTTTCAGTTTGAAAAAAATATATTTGAATATGAAATAAATAGAAAAAAAAATAATACTATTTACGAAAAATGACACATTTTCCTGCACTTTTACTCGAACAAATCACCTGAAGCTTAAACACAAACTGTTGCATATCAACTTTTATGAGCTTGTAGTCTCCTCCATAAGTGAGCCTGAAAAAGAGGAAACACTTGTACTGAACAATGTATTAGTTAATTATAATAATGATTGGATAATAGAATCTAAATACTCTTTTATCATATGACATACAATAAATGAAAATTCTGGAGCCCATTAAAGTGTAGAGGCAATAACTAAAAAATATTTTTCACCTGCTCGTGCTCAAGATGAAGAAGAATTTTTTACCAGCAACACAACTAACATATAACTAACATCCTCAAGTAAGGGAATGGTGTTTTAACCCAACTATAGGAAATATACATAACCTTAATGCTAATCAATTCACCAATCATGAAAGGAATAATGTTACAATTTGTCTATATAATGTCAATCCAAACAACTTACTCATACAAGACTTGGTAAAATGAGAGAGTTGATTTATGGCAAGCGTGTTGGAATAAAAAAATTCTTTTCAAATTCGTAAATCTGTAAAACTAAACATATAATCTCATACTAAACTAACGATAAATAAAAGCGGAAGCATACCTGAATCCATCGCAGAAGAATTATTTGCGTCCGGTGGTAGAATCTTTCGAATCAACACAATGCCTAAAAAATTAGTTTTTTTCTAATTACGGAATTTCATAAAAATAAAATGGCAACCTCGTGATTCGGGGACCATAATCGTTTTTCATATCGACAAACTTTTTTAATTCTCATTTCACCCATCATAAAATAAGAATATTACAAAAATTATATTTGCACATTACAAACTCATATTTATACCCGATATATTAAAGTTCAATATTATTTAGACATATTTGATCACTTTTAAACGAACTTATTAAATTGATAGTATGATACGCATACCAAGATCCACATTAAATGTACATGTTAGAAAAAAATCAAATAGTCTCACACTTGGGTTTTATGTGATACCTTAATTATGCGTTAAACAATCATAGAAGCACTCAAAACTATGTTATCAATACTTGCATCACCAAGCAATCCCGTTCATCAATCACAAAGACATAGGATCAAAGTGGCTTCACCACAGCAAAGATAACTAAACCCTTTAATGGTCACGTATATCAGTATAACCGAATGATATGAATTAAACATGTATGTGCAACATAAAAATTACATGCTATATGATCTAACCATGCCTATTTCCAACTAGTCTTACCTTAAACTTAGTGAGATCAATTGTAAAAAAATTTATAGATAATATATATGAACAAAACCAAAACACAAAGACTGAAATGAAACCATATATATACATAAACAAAACCAAAGTACAAAGTATATGATATGTCTTACAAAATAAATACAACTATGGTACAAGACTCTCACTGAAACTATACATCATTTAGGAATATAATACTCATATGAGCAGTGTGCTTATGAAAGACCTTAGGTGTTAATCCCTTAGTGAGCGGATCTACAATCATAGAGTTTGTTCCAATGTGTTCTATCGATATCTACTTACTCTAAACTCTTTCTTTAACAACGAGAAACTTGATATCTATATCCTTTGACTTTGTTGAGCTCCTATTGTTATTGGAATACATAACTGCAGATTTATTGTCATAAAATATATTTAATAGTCCTTCAATGCCATTAACAATATGTAATCCAATGACAAAATTTTGCAACCATATTTTGTGATTGAATGCCTCATAACAAGCTACAAACTATGCTGCTATAATAGAAGAGGTTACAAGTGTTTATTTAGCACTTTTCTAGGAAATAGCTCCACCAGCAAGCAAGTAAATATGGTTTAATGTAAATTTTCTACTGTCTTGACATTTGGTAAAATCAGAATCAAAATAACTAATGATCTCTAACTAATCTGACCTCCTATATGTGAGCATATAACTTTTTATTCTCTGTAAATACTGCATGACACGTTTAACTGCTTTCCAATTATCTATACCTAAATTGCTTAAATCTACCTAACATCCCAACAATCAATGCAATATCTGGACACGTATAAACCTGTGCATACATAAGATTCCCTACAACATAAGCATAAGGAATATTTTACATCTCTATAATCTATGAATTTTTCTTAGGGCATTAACTTAGAGTAAACTTATCTACTTTAAACACAAGGGAGTCACTTGGTTTACAATCCTGCATGGTAAACCTTTTAAGAACCTTTTCAATATAATTTTTTTGTGATAATCCAAGAATATTTCGAAAACGATCCCAGTGTATCTAGATCTCTAATACAAAAGAGGTTTTCCCAAGATCTTTCATCTCAAATTTTTTTATCATAAATCTCTTAGTTTCATACAATAAGCCTATATCGCTACTAGCAAATAGTATGTCGTTGACATATAAAACTAGAAAAATATATTTACTCTCACTAAACTTATGGTATACACAATCTTTCACTAAATTCATCTCAAAACTAAATGAGATGGCGACTTGATGAAATTTGTGATATCATTGACAGGAAGTCTACTTAAGTTCATAGATGGATTTTTTTTAGTTTGCAAACTATTTGCTGTGCATCTTTGGATACAAAGTTTTCTAGTTACACCATATAAATCATCTTATCAATGTCACCATTGAGAAATATTGTCTTAACATTCATCTAATGTAACTCAAGATCAAATGTGTCACTAAAGCTATTATAGTCCTAAAAGAGTCCTTCGATAAAATTGGAGAGAAAATCTCTTTATAATCGATGACTTCTTTTTGTGTAAAGCCTTTAGCGACAAGACAGGCCCTGTACCTCTCCACATTACCTTTCGAATCCCTCTTGATTTTATGTATTTATTTACAACCAATGGGTTTTGCATCTTTAGGCAATGGGATAAGATCCCAAACATCATTGTCTTTCATGAATTTTATCTTTTTATTCATGACATCAATCCATTTTTGAGAGTTAGAACTTTCTATGGCTTGACGGAAGTTGATAGGATCATTTTCTACCATACCAATGTCAAACTCATATTCTTTGAGATGTACAATATAATCATATGGAATTACACTTCTCCTCTCTCTAATGGATCTTTTTAGTGACATAAAATCTTGAGGATGTGAAATTTGTACTTCAAGGACAATTTTCTAAATAGGAACGGGAGATACTATGACATTGTCTTGATTTGAAGTTGCTTTTTAAACAATACTATGTATAAAAATATGATCTTGATCATTGTCCATAGCAACTGAGGGAATAGGAATATCAATCCATTCCTCTTCAAATATAAGGTCTCGAACTCTTTCTCCCCTACAAACTCAATATCTTCAAAGAACTGAGCATTTTTCGTCTCAAAAATTATCTTAATAGTGGGATCATAAAATTTATAATCCCTGAATCATTCAAAATAACCAACAAAATAGCAACTAACAATTCTAGAGTTCAATTTCTTTTCTTGTAACCTGTAAGGTCTAACCTCAACTAGACATCCCATATGTGTAAATATCTCGAACTAGACTTCTTGCTCGTCCAAAGCTTAGAAGGGGTCTTTGTAGTCATTTTAATTGGAACTTTGTTGAATAAATATGTTGCAGTTTTTAATGCTTCTCCCCATAGTGATTCAGGTAAGGCATAATGATTAATCATACTCCTCACCATATCTCTAAGTGTTTTGTTTCACCTTTCAGCAACACCATTCATGTTAGGAGAACCTGACATGGTATACTATGGGATGATACTGCACTCCTCTAGGAAGCGAGCAAATGGCCATGGACACTATTCACCTGAAACGTCATATCTACTATAGTATTCACTACCATGGTCAGATCCAACAGCCTTAATCCTTTTGTTGAATTGGTTATCAGCTTTTGCTTTAAAATTCTTAAACACATCTAGGAACTGAGACCTTTCATGAATGAGATATAGGTAATTATATCTAGAATTATCATTTATGAACGTTATGAAATATTATTGACCATTCTAAGAAACTGTAAGGATCGGTGCACAAATATCTGTATGAATGAATTCTTATACATCCATAGCCATGTTGGCACCTAATTTCTTTATATTTATATGTTTCTCCTTGATACAATAGACACATTTATAAAAATCTATAAAATTAAGGAGATCTAGAATTCCATCTAACACAAGTCTCTATATTCTCATTTGAGAGATGTGACCTAATCTCTTATGCCATACTAAAGCGGAATCGCCTTGGTTAATTTTTTTTTTATACCTCTTATACCAGCATACAATGATTCATTATAAGAAGCAGTTGTATCTAGTAAATAAAAATTATCATACGTTGATAAAGAACCTGAACCAACCATATTTGAATTAAGAAAAAAACTAAATTTTTCATTTTTAAATGAACCTAAATAACCAAATTTGTTCAATACAGAAACAGAAATCATATTCCAGATAAATGATGGTATAATAAAAGTCCCTTCTAAATCCAAATAAAATTCAGTCCTTAACAATAATCTAAATTTATCAATTGCTTCCACTTCGACTGGTTTGCCATCGCCCACATAAATAAATCAGACACCATCACTTGACTTGCGGCAATAGAGGCAACTCTGCATAGACACACTAATATGAGTTGCGACACCAAAATCTATCCAACAAGTGTGTGTAATTAACCTCAAAACAAACAAAATTAAGAATTATGCATTTCTTTATGCGTCACGCATGATTATTAGCGCATTGCTTCTTCTAGTGTCCTAGAGTTTTACAGAGAAACAAACATTTTTTTTCTTAACCTTTTATTGCTTCTTTTGTTGTACTGGAATCGCAACATATTTATTTATGTTCTTTTTCTTGTTGCTATTA